GTTCTCAGTCTGAAAGACTTTTGAGTTTCATATCCCTCCTCCAATCCTGAAGTCAGGTAAGGCTGTAGGTAGGAGGTTTGAGGTTGGGTTAAGGAATGAGACAAGTTCTGGCTATGTTGTGTGAAGTATGAGGAAGGAAGCAACGACTGCCAAGCAGAACTTGATTTGTACACAGTGCAGGTGGCTACTAATGTGAGGTCTCTGAAATTTTAAGTGAGTTACTTAAATATGTTCAAAGACCTAAAGGAAACCATGTCTAAAGAACTAAAGGAAATCATGAGAACAAAATCCCACCAAATAGAGAGAATCAATAAAGATATACAAATTATAAGAAGGACCAAATAGAAATTCTGAAGTTGAAAAGTACAATGGAAAAAAAAATTCACTAGAGGGTCCCAATAGCATATTTCAGCAGGCAGAAGAAAGAATCAGTGAACTTGAATATAGGGCAAGTGAGATTATGCAGTCTGAAGAACACAAAAAACAATGAAGAAAAGAATGAACAAAACCTCTGAAACCTGTGGGACACCATCGAGCATGCCAACATATGCATTACAGGAGAAGGAAAGGAGAGGGGGAAAAGGGTATAAAGAATACTTAAGGAAATAATGACCAAAAACTCCCCAAATTTGATGGAAACCAACCAAGATGCTACACAAACTCCAAGTAGGATAAACTCAAAAAGACCTCCAGCTAGACACATCAAAATCAAATTGCTGAAAACCAAAAAAAAAATAAGAATTTTGAAAGCAGCAAAACAAAAGCAATTCAACATACACAAAAGAGCTTCAATAAGATTAACAGGTAATTTCTCATTAGAAACCATGGGGGCCAGAAACTAGGCATGGTATATTCAAAGTAGCAAAGGGGCAAAAACGCTGTCAACCAGAAGTTCAAAATCGGACAAAACTATCCTTCAAAACTGAAGGATAAATCAACATTTTCATGTAAACAAAACTGAGAGGGGTTTTTCCTATAAGAAATATTGGTGAAGTGAAAAGGCTCTAGATAGTAACTTGAATCAACATGAAGAAAAAAAGAGCACTAGTAAAAATAATTACGTAATTAAATACAGAAAATGGTATGAATGTATTTTTTGTTTATAACTCCTTTTAAAATCTGATTTAAAAGAGAACTGCATAAATCAATAGCAATAAATCTACGTTGATGGGAACAAAATGTATAAAGATATAATTTGTGACAATAACAACATATGAGAGGGGGGCATGGAACTATAGAGGAGCAAAGTTTTGTGTAATATTGAAATTAAGTTGGTATTAATCCAAACTAGATTGCTATAAATTGAGATATTAATGGTTACTTACAGGGCAGTCACCAAGAAAATAAGTTAAAATATATATAGTGAATGGAATGGTATTAAAATAGTGCACTAGAAATTAATTATTTAACACAAGAGAAAGCAGTAATGGAGAAACAGAAGAACAAAGAATATAAAATATAGAAAAGAACTAGCAAAATGGTAGACACTAAATCTTACTTTACCCATTATATTAAATGTAAACATAGCAAACTCTCCAATTAAAGGGCAGAGATTGGAAGAATAGATTTAAAACATGATCAAGGGGCATCTGGGTGGCTCAGTTGGTTGAGCATCTCACTCTTCATTTTGGCCCAGGTCATGATCCCAGGATCATGGGATTGAGCCCTGTGTCTTTCTCTTTCCCTCTGCTTCTCTCTCTCACTCATGTGCTCTCTCTCTCTCTTTCTAAAATAAAAAACAAAAACAAAAAGCAATCCCCCCCCAAAAAAACCACAATCCAACTACATGCTGTCTACAAGAGACTTAGTTTAGATTTAAAAGCATAAATAGGCAGAAAGTGAGAGCTGGTGTGGCTATACTGATATTAGACAAAATAGACTTTAAGACAAAAATTGTTACTAAAGGCAAGAAAGACACCTTATAATGATAAAGGGTCAATTCATAAAGAAGATGTAACAATTATAAACCTATATGAACCTAGAAATAGGTTGAAGCAAATTGTGTTAGGGGAAGGCAGTTCTGTCTTAAATCTTTGACCCCCATGACCATTAGGAATTTATTCCCTTGAGATAAAGTTTTGCCTCCTTTAATTTTTTGTTAAAGTATATACATAGCCCTTAAACCACCAATTGCATTAATATCTTAGCTGAAATTTGTTTAAGCTCCTTTAGAGCATTGACTGCTAGTGACAGAGACAAAAGTTGAGCTATTTTTGATAGAACATACAGTTATGGCCTGGAGTGGGCCCAGGGTGTGGAGAGTAGGGAAAAGGGGAGTCCAAGATTGGGTGGAAATGTTAAGAACAGAGGAAAAGTACAGGATGGGGAGAAGTGGAAGAAAGCTAGTGTATCACGGAGGATCAGAAAAGACTTCAGGGACTGTCAAGAAAGACAAATGCTAGACAAGCAGCAAAATAACTAGGGCTTTGGTTTGGTGCTGAAGTTCTTGGGGACAACTTGGGGCTGAGGGCAGCAGCAGATACCAGAAGGAGCACAAGGAGTCAGAACAGGGGAGAAAAATGTGGGGCCAAGGATTGTGATGAGCACAGGTCATTCTTAGGTAAACACCCTGGCACCAGGTCTGAGCTGCTGTCTGAGTCCTGGAGAACCACAGGGAGGGAAGCAGAATGGACTGTGGGCTGAAACCATACCACAGACACTGGTAAGATATGGGTGTTTGGAAAGCCAGGAAACCCACAGGAACAAAAAAGATCAGGGCCAGGAGGCAATACTGAAAACAAGTTCATAAGCCAGGCAAATGAGCAGGGCAATTGGGTACTCAAATGAGGTAGTATTTGTGAAAGCCCTCACTTATGGGTACATGATTAGTGTTAGCTGGTTCTAAATCTGAAATTAGGGCAAGGCTAATGATGGCCTGGGCAGTGACTCAATGTTGACAACAATAATAGCCGGTACTTGTTAGTACCTATTATGTGCTGGGCACTGCGTTAAGTATTTCACATTCATTGCCTCGTTTAATACTTAAAATATCCATGGAAAGTAGACATTGAAACCTCCAACCTACAGCTAAACATGAAACCTGTTCAGGTGACTTGCTCAAGGCCATTTTAGCAATGAAAATAGGATGGAACCAGAGGTTTCCCCGACAGCACTCTGCCAGGCCCTGGGACAGGCTCACAGCCACCGGGGTGTCTTTGATCACTATGATAGCTTAAAAGGAATGGGGAGAGGGGGGATGCTTTGATCTGGGGACACAGAATTTCTCAGAGTCTCTCTGAGGTGCCATCATGCATAGTTGTCTCAAGTGGAGTTGGAAAAAGAAGCAGCAGGGGCCTAAAGACCTTTCCTACTCTCTTCTTTCTGCCTGGACCTTTGAGGATCTGTGGGGGTTTACTTGGTGGGTCAGCACTAGGATCACTCCACCCTGCTGTAACCCCTAGATGCACTTTTCTGAAGTGGACAAATGCAGCCCCAAACCAGGGACTAGGTATAGGGGATAAAAGCATGTGTGGGCTGGGCAACTCCAGGTATAGCCTGCCTGACCCATAAATTCCAGTTGCCATCTCTGCTTTTTTGTTTTCAGAAGCAGGAGAGTTGGTTTGCTTTCTTTATGGCTATCCCTACCCTCTTTCTGCACCCTCCCCATAACATATAATCACACAGCAACACACACACCCACACAGATATTGGAGGGCTACTTCTGGGTGATCCCCTGCATCCCACTAATGAGACCATCACCAGTGCCCTCTCTTAGAGAAAGGAATTTCCTGTGAGTTCCCTTCAAATTTGGACTAGGGGCCAGAGCCCCTACTGTCATCATAAGCATTCTGAGCAGGAAGAGCCAGAAGTGTCGAATAGCCCACGCTTCATTTTACTGATGGGAAGGGGGCCCAGGCAGGGAGCTGACTTGCCCAAGACCATGGGGCACCTCCTGGTACTTAGTGCTGGCTTTTGTTCTACACCCTCCGTGGGCTCCCTGGTGCCTCCAAGCACTAAATGGGGGAAAGAAAAGCCTACGAAAAGGAGGCAGGCACTTGCCTGGTGACCCACAGGGCACTGATGCTTTTAGGAGTCTGGGGTGGAGGCTACAGGGAACTCTGACCAGAGGATTCTTTTCTGCCTGGCTGGCTGTGCACAGTTGTCTTGAATCTTCTTGGAGGCCTGTGGACACTTTCTGCTCCTCTCTATTCTTACATGTTCTGATTGGGTGTGGGTACCACTCACTTCCCTGTGGGGCTGGGCCTGCAGCCCTAGAGCAGTAATATGCAGTGATCTTTATGATCTTTTCACCCAAGCTCCCCACCCAGGGCGAGAATGCCTTTACCAGCACCCTCCACCCCAGTGATGCTGGAGCACTGCTGGGGCTGGAAACTCACCACTACCCAGACAAAGGAACAATACATGGGCCCAGATCATTCCCCTCAATGTGAGTGCCCTGTGCTGGTAGAGTCACAGGGATGCTGAAGCCTATAGCTATACTCTGCTTACTTCTTAAACACCAGCTATATGTCAACACCACGGCCTCACTTTCTTTTTTGTAATACAGTCCTCTGGAAAAATAAAATAAAATAAAATGAAGTCAGTAACTGTGGACCTGGTGCTGGGTCTCACTGCCTGCATGTCAATCTATCCCATTAATCATCATGTACAATTTTCCGAAGAGCTATTTTGAGAAACATTGGAAAATGGCTTTCACAGAGCTATGTATACCTTATTTATACTCCAGAAATGGTTGCTCTGTTTAGCAGCAGATGGGTTTTTCTCCCTAATTTTCTTTTCATCTCTTAGTGAAAGTTAAGTAGGAAGGAAGCCCTCTCCCTAATCATGGGCACACACTTAATACTTAAATCACCCGCAGTCCACCCTGGAGTCAGGGTCATGGGTGGGTGGTTGAGAGAAAAGGCTGTGGGTTTCTTGTAAGGCACTGTTCCCGAGACCCCAAGGGAACAAATACAGTAGACATGCTGGCTGCTTAGAGGCTGGTTTCTGCAGCCTGGCAAGAAGCAGGGCCCCTGGAGGTGGGGTGTGGAATAGAATGTGGGTGCCCTGGCTTGCTTTTCTCAACCTGTGTGGGCATCTCAAGGTCCACGAAGCATATGCCAAGAGCATCCCATTGATGTCCCGAGGAGCCAAGGGAAGACCAACCATCCTGGCTTTATCCTGCCCAAGTGCTTTATCTTTGGCCTACAGGAAGCAGCAAGTCTGCCCTGCACAGTTGCCATGGCAACCACAGTGCTGCAGCTCCAAAGGGCAAGGGGAGCAGAAGGGAGGTGGAGAAGGCATGTGGTGATTTTTCTGGAAAATCCCATCTGTTTCTTTTCCCCACAAATCCAAGCTGGGGGAAAAATGGACATCTGGGGTCTAGAGAGAGAAGAGAGAGAAGATTTCAAAATGCTCCAAGAGCAGCTTTCCTGACTAGATGTGCTTCCCCTCCTGTTGGTGGAGGCAAGTCACTGACACAGACAAAGGTTTGGGCGGGTTATGGTGGAGGCATCCAAGTGGGAGCCTATGTGCAGGATTCAGGGTAGGTCCTAGGACCCCAGGCCTGGGTGGAACAGTCCTAGGAGGACTCCTATCAGCCACAGCAGGATTTCTTTTTGGCAGAGCGGTCAACCTGTATGGTGTCCTCTCTTGCTGTATCTTCTTGTTTCTTGAGGATCCTGGGAGAGGGGAAGGTATAGTGTCAGTAGAGAAGAGCTGCTAGGCCATTGGGTTATATATAGGCCATCTGGATGATAAGGAGGGAACCCAACATCACCAGAGCATCAGAGTTTTCAAAGTCTCCCCCTGGGAAGTGCAGGTACATAACCATAATTTGTAAAGACAAAGTTTAACCAATATGGATCCTTCATGACACCTCCTCAAAGAAGCCTCCCCAGATTTTCCAGGTGATGTAAGTGCCCCTGACAGCATTTTGACCATTCCTCTGTAAAAACCCCATCACCGCATGTCATAATGCACTGCTTCCTTTGTTGGCTCCCTGAGGTGAGAAAGCTGCTTGAAGGCAGAGACTATATACTTTGTCTCTGTGTCTCTGTAGCCTATCGTAGTACCTGGCACACAGAAGAGACTCAAAGAAGATACTTCTTGGTTATTAACTCTATAGAAGGTCTGTCCCATGTTGCCACAGTTGCAGATTAAATGTAGGAGGTGAAGAATTAAAAATAGTGGTAAGTATCTTATCCCTGCTTTATACTCTCAATGTGCTTTCACCTTAAGCATCCCTTTTGATTTTACAACAGTCTGAGTAGGCAGAGAGGGTATGATTGATGTTCCTATGCTGGGGGCAAATCTCAGAGAGGTAGACTTACTTTACCCCAGAATCAGTGGCAGAAAAAAGCCTAGAACTTTCCTCATGGTCTTCCATAACTCCACAGTCTCTCCAATGCGTAGAAAATGTTATTCTGGGTTCTTAATTAATCAAATGAAAATATTTACAAAATTCCCCAGAATGAGCACTGGACCCAAAATGGGCACTATTAAGTATTTGTTGGATGGATGGATGGATGGATGGATGCATTGGTGAACTAATGGATACATGTAGGGATGCACAAATGGATGTGTGAATGGGTGGATGGATGGGTGGATAGACTGGAGGAATAGGTGGATAGATGGATAGATGGATGGGTGGATGGATGAATAGGTAGATGGGTGGATAGGTGACTGGGTGTATGGATGGTTAGGTCGGTGGACAAATAGAATGAAATGAATGCCAAGATGGGTAAATGAGTGAATTTCCAAGTATTGAAAATGGGGCCCTGTATGGTTCTTTTTTTTTTTTTTTTTTTTTTAATTTTGGTATAGGCGGAGGCTTATGAAACCAGTCTTTTGATGGAACTAACCCTTTGAGAGCTGTCACCTTAGATGCCTCTCGTTCCCCCAAATAGCCCCTCCTCTCCCTGGCTTCTCCTCACCCTCCCCCGTGCCCATATTATAACTGTTCTTGTTCCCTGCCGGCTGCCAGCTAATCCCTGCTAAGATATTAGCCAGTGTTCAGGGACCTATGATAAGACCTTTCCTGGAAGCATTTGCATTTAAAAAGAGGATCCCTGGGAAAAGGGCAGCTTTTAAGACCCAGAAGAAGACTATGGGGGGGTGGGCAAGACACAAGGGGGCTTTCTTTTTTGTCCCTATTGTGTTTCAGAGGGCTGTCCCTGAATCCCACACAAAGCCCTAGGCCTCCAACCCCTTTACCCAGAAGGCTCGGCAGACAGAGGAATGGCCTCTCAGGGGTGAGTGCAGTGCTTCCCACCAGACTCTGTTTGCTGGGATGTGCCTCCTTCCTTACCTGGCTAGATGAAGTAGGGACTCTTTGGTGTTGTGACCGGAATAGGCACTGCATTCATAGAAGATCAGATTGTTCTCCTAGAACCATAAAGCAGAGGGGACAAAAAGAGAGTACTGGGGGAGCTCGAGGGACCCATGGGAGGAGAACACCCCATCTGCATCAGCCCGCCTGCCTCACTTCCTCTCACAGTCCCCTTTAATTCCTCTCCCCATCCCTGCTCTCTTCAAGGTTGATTTCAGTCTCCTCAGGCTCCCTGCCTAATGCAAGTTCTGTAAGCATCTCCCAGGTGAGCTATAACAATTGTAAAACACCAAACAGTATGCTGCCTTAGTGCTTCACGCTTTCACAAATTGCTCTGAGGTATGTAGATGCCCATTTCCTTTTCACACCAGCCTGTGGTGCAGGCAGAGGAACAAAGGCCAAGATGCACCACATTCTCCACAATGCACAGGCAGGGAAACCAAGGGCATAGTATAAAGGGCAGGTCAGTTCATTCAGTGACTTATTGAGTTAATGGCAGGCCTCCCAGCAGCTTGTTTTGCCCAGAACACCGGCATTCCGTGAACTTTGGGGCAGATGTCACTGAGGTACACCAGTGGGAATTCTCCTTCACACCAGTTAATTACTATTCCAGCTGCCTAGGCTGTCAGCATTCGTGTCACAGGACAGTTGTCGATCACTTCAGGATGCAGAGGCTGTGCTGCCTGCGTGGTGGGGGCTCTTGGCTAAGCCTCATCATTATATCCATTTATCACTCCTGTTAATAGATTTCCTGCTTCCTTAGGACATTGCTATTGGCATGAAACTCTGGAGGCTGATGCCCTGTAGGGATGAAGGCACTGAATGAGGACACTTCTGTGGCTTGCAGATCAGGAGGCTCTAGACACTGGCCCCCAGTTCAGCTTTCCTGGTTCACACCCCAGAGGCCCAGATCCTACCCCTGTCCACACTTGTGCCACAGCCAGACTCTGGGTCAGTCTTTGGAAGAATGAAGACTTCACGGTGGGAGGAGGGAGAGTACATAGGATCTAGAATTGGAAGGCATGATCCACCTTCCAGCTTCAAGTCTTGACTCCACCCCTGAGGACCTGTACGATCACTCGAATTAATCACTTAACTGCTCTGAGCCTCATTTGCTTGTATGTTCATTTTTTAACTGACCAAAAAAAAAAAAAAAAAAGAATAAAAAGGGAAAAAAAATGGGATGATAAATATACAGGCCTGCAGTTCATTAATCAAACTCCTTGGATATAGATGTACTTTGGAATCCAGAGACTCTGAGTTTCACAAAAATAACAGATGTATATACTATATATTACCCTCAGTTGGTCTGGGATAGCACCCTATGATCAAACATATTAATATTTCTTGAAACATAGGAAAATTCATCCAAGTGAGGTAAACAAAAAGACCATAAATGGCTTCATGTCAGTCCTGGTCAGATTTTTCTGCCAGACAAAACACTAGAAACCTTTCTGTTTCAGTATTGTGAGCATTGTGGGTAAGGGACTGCAGACATGTGGCTACCCTCTGACCCTTCGCAGGAACACCTGCCAAACCCTTCCTGCTCCTTTTTTACTTGACTCTTACCATCTGTGCCCATTTTCCTGACCTCTGGGGTCACAAGTCCCTGTTTGTTTATTTATTTATTAGTATTTTTCAATGTTTATTTCTTTATTTTGAGAGAGAGTGAGAAAGCATGCGAGCAGGGGAGGGGCAGAGAGAGAGAGAGGGAGAGAGAGAACTCCAAGCAGGTTTCCCACTGTCAGTGCGGAGCCCAATGTGGGGCTCGAACTCACAACTGTGAGATCATGACCTGAGCCGGAAACAAGAGTTGGATATTTAACTGACTGAGCCACCCAGGCACCCCTATTATTATTATTTTTTTTAGTTTGAGAGAAAGAGAGAGAAAGAGAAGGGGTGGAGGGAGAAAGAGAAAGAACCTCAAGCCAACTCCACGCTTAGCACAGAGCCCAACGTGGGGATTGATCCCATGACCTTGGGATAATGACCTGGCTGAAATCAAAAGTCGGATGCTTAACCAACTGAGCCACCCAGGTGTCCCATGAGTGCCTGTTTAGAGCAAGCACACTAAGAGATATGGAATCCTAGGGCTGGAAAGCACCCCCACCTTCTCAGACACACAGGTTCCTGAAAAGCACTCGGAGGCAGTAGAAACAGCCAAGGAGTGCCACTGTTTGTGCCTGATTTCCAACAAGCCTTATTGGCCCCCAGCGTGGGTAAGAGGGCTGATGCTTATTTTAATGGTAAAGTTTTGAGGGCATGCTCTGAGTTTATCTTGGGTTCACCGCTTTTGGACTCAATATTGATCAGAATGGATAAACTCGTGAACACAGCTGTTCAAAGAACAGTCTGCCTTACAGAGAGTGTTTCATCCCTGAAGGTGATCAAGTGGAAACACAGAGGAAGGCATTCAAAGATCAGATAGGGGATTTAAAGAAGTAACCTCCTACTATCTAAGAATCTATCATTCTGAGTTCCAGGGAAAAGTGTTTGGGAAAATTCCCCATACCACCTAGTCATTCCTAGCCAGCTCTATCTTGCAATGTGTGACTTTCTACAGAAAGTTCCACATGCACGGGCATCCACATGCCATTCCCACGATGCCAGGACACCCATCTTGCCCACTTGCTTCCTTCCCAGGGGGCTTCCAGGGAAGGCTCCCACCAAGGCTCTTGGGCACTTGCCTGACTGTCCTCGGGCTCGTACCCTGTCTAGAGAGATGGAAAGTTTGCTCTTTACCTTGGCAAGCTTCTCTCCAAGGCCTCGGGGAACTTCCCGCTCTTTCTCATTGTCAATTTTATTGCCCAGCAGAAGAACAGGAATGCGGTCTCCCACAGCTTCCTGCAAAACAGATAATCCCCCAACTGAGAGAAGCATCCAGAAGGAAAACCCAGAAGGGCAGGCTTAAAATGCTGGCAGTAAAGATACAATCTGGCTTGCGAATCCCCTGCTGCCACAGCAGGCCAGGCGATAAGAGTCATCCCAAAAGCTGAGAGCCTCAGTTTCTGAGGCTTCTGTGAGGTGTCTGAGGCCTCCCTCCCTCCCCACTCACCCTTGCCTGATGGGCCATGCAGGCTCCTCAGGTGTGCTGTGGGTAGCAGCATGAGGGGACAGAAGACATTCATGAACTATGTGTCCGTTTCTAGCACTTACGGTATCCCCGAAAACATTCCTAAGTGACCAGACTTCGTCTAAATGAACCAGAACGAACGAAAGGAATTAATGCAATGTGGTTTGGAGCATTTCTAGGGACTGTTTTGATTAGGCATGGCATCTCCAGGGGCCTCATATTGGGCACATAAGCTCCCTGAGGCGTGGGGCCACAGTGCCTATAAAAGGATTGTTGTGCACCTAACTGGAGGTCACCACGGGGGGCAGTACAGATAGATCACCATTATTGGGTGCTCTAGCTCTGACCAAAGGCCCACATGGGGAAGAAGCATGTGGCCACAGAAGCTGCACTTCTTGGGCCAGAAGTAACAGGTTTGTTCAAGGGGTCAACCTTCTTTACTCCTCCAGTGACTGTGGCATATCAGCCAAAGGCCTGCACCCTGGCATCTCTGTACCCCAGGGCTTCCTCCCTTGTGAAATGCGTGTACCTTTTGTGCCCCTGAGGAGGGCAAGCCAAGGGCCCAGGACACACAGCTATTAAGTGAGTAAATATGGTAATACTCACATTTAAGCAGTCTGTGATTTTTACTTCATGAGATATTTAATTAGGGGCTTTTAATAATAATTTGGTAAACAATAGTTATTCATCACAGAGAAATGTTTTATGAAATAGAGAGGGTTAGGGGATAACACAAGCTAGTAATCACTTACAGTGTTGTCAATGACTCAGCTGCTTTATCTCACCATTTCAAAAAAATGTCCAAAGTCCACCCAATAGGTACATGTATTTTAAGTTTGAATGCAATTAAATTTGAGATAAAGCCTCAACGGTTCCTTAATCTACACATTCATTTTTATCGCAGTTTGGTAGTGAAAAAAATTCTCATTTCCTAAATGAGAACATTAAGGTTCAGAGAATCCCAAAGAACATTCAATAACAAAGTCACTGAGTTATGAGGACCCTTTAGTATATGGGTCCACAATTCTCTAATGTTCTTCTCTAAATTCTGATTTCCAGTGAACTCTCTATTTAGTGTCTTATTAACTAGAACTCTCTAAAAGTGGTATTTCCACTTATCCATGGTAAGATGGTAATTAATGTTGATAATGATGAGTCAAAGGCACTAAATGATCTTTACAGTGTCTTCTGATCCATCAGAAATAGATTAAATTACGTGCACTGGAGTTGACGTGCTAAGTGGATTGCACCACATTTCAATTGTTTGCACATGAGAAACCACTAATGGCATGCAGACAATGCTGTGGCTCCCTATTACCAGAGTGCTGGGTAATGGGAATACCCCCATTTTCTGACTCTGTTGTGCCACAGAAACTTGTGTGAAGACTTTTTCACAGAAAAGGGAAAAAAGAGAAGGAAGCAGGGAAATGGGCCAAAAGGCTTGCTGTTTGGAGCACATGAGAGATATTTGTAGATTTATGTGTGAGGAATGACTAAGGCTTGTGGGATTTCTTGACATGGAAATGCTGAAAATATGAGCATCAGACTTGAAGTCCCAGGCAGAATTCGAACCCGGATTCTGGTATGCTGGAATGGGTGACGGCTTCAGTTTCATCACTTGCAAAGGGGATAGTGGGTACTGAATGACTAAGCATCAGGTAAGGGATAGTCACAAGCCCAACATTGGAGCCCCATGTACCACAAAGAGCAGGGCTGCCTCTGGGTGGGGAAGGGAAGCAGTCTTCTTTTTTAAAGCAATTCTTGGTTATAAAAATAAAACATCTTAGAAGGAGCTGATAAAAGCCAAGCCCCCAGCTGGAGCTGTGGCTTCTGTTCTTTGCATTGTTCCTCTCTTACACAAATACTCTGGACACCTCACTTCCCCTCTGTGGACCCTGGCCTGCCACTGATAAAGAATCAGGCTTATCTCCAAAGTCAAGGCAAAAACAAGTGAGAACACATGGAAGGCTGGAAGGTGTGCTATTCACCATGGGCAGTCAGCCATCATCACCCTGGCCCAAGACTAGTCTCTGACATAGGGCCATGGGGAGGGCGGGGCTTAGGGTGGGTGTCTCATGGTCCTCTCTGACTTTAATGTCAAGTCTTGAGCTATCTGCCCAAACCTGACACCTTTCACATACCCAACCCGTTGTTCAGCCTGGATACTGCTTTGCACAAAGAGGCTCTCATTACCTATCAGATGAAGCAACACTTCCTTTTAAAAGTCGAAAGCACACCTCCTTTGGCAAACAAGTCTAAGCCCCACCTGATTTCTGTTGAAATTTCTATAGATGCTTGGTAGAACTCTGTAGGCATGGCAGGTCAGAGGGAAGGAATTGAACATACTTAGTTGGGCATACAGTCTCTGTCTGTGTGGGACCTGTCAGAATCACCACTTTTCACAGAGTCTATTCTGTGAGCTATGAGATGGCCCCAAAAAGCTGCTGTCCTCTGACACTGACACAGAAGCCTCTCCATACCTTCAACCATTTTAGTTGCCTATCTTTGAACTTGAGCTTGTTGGAAGACAGACGTGCTAAAATTCAAAAGATTACCCACCTCTGACTTTAAATAACATGAGCTGTCAGCTTGGAGCAGAGGACTGGCATTCAGCTCAGAACGTGCAGCTGCTGGGTTTGGTTGGTTGGTTGTAGTGTGTGTGTGTGTGTGTGTGTGTGTGTGTGTGTGTGTGTGTTAATATCCATTTGCTGGGAGGCAAGAAAAAGCACTTAGCCAGGATAGTGCTGCTACTTCTCTGGAGCCAGAACAAAAAATTTCTCAGCACATTAAAGCATGTAGTTATGCTAAGAAAAAAATGACTGCAAAATTATATCTTGGGGGTTTCCATATTTATCCACCCCCTGGACTATGAGTCAAAACAAGATTTATTCGTGTAGTTCGTTTTAAACTGCCAGCACTTCAAGCTCAACTTGGAACAGGGGGAAAAAATCAAACTGCTATTTTTTGCTCTGTGCTGTACATTGTCACCAATGACCAAGATCACAGAACAAGAATTAGCTGGTGGTCCACAAAATGAGAGGAGAGTGAGCCTGGCCCCTTTGAGCTAAAGAACTATTCTGCTTTGGGGCGGAAGTGGGAAGGACTGAAAAAAGAAACGAACACCTATTTTTCAGAAGCAGATTTCAACCATGGGCCATGTGACGCTCTTGTCACATAATGCATAATGCAGCATAATGCAGTAGCAGAGCCCTAGATTCCAGTTCTGGCTGGGCGTCTGGCAAGCTGTGGGTACTTTTGGACAAGTCACTTCCTCTCTCTGGATCGCAGGACTTTTCATCTATAAAACAAGAAGCTGCATTAGATTAATCTCCAAGTTTTGTTTTGTTTTGTTTTGTTTTCGGAGACACTGATCGTGTTGGCTTAATGACTTCAGTCATTTTCCACTTCCTTGACTTATAGGCCTAACAACACAGGGCTATCAGAATGACAAAAGATCGAGACAAGAAATTCAACATACCCGGAGTGCAGACATTGGGGACCAACAAACTGGAATTGGACCAACGAACGGCCCGTTCAGGCTTGTACCAAATCCCATTTTCCCTATCTGATACAGGCCCCAAAGTCTCCAGATGTCCAGTCTGTTCCAGACTCCAGATGTCCAGTCTGTTCCATGGTCTAACCATGGGACCCTTAGAGCCCAACCAGTTTCTTCTCTAGATTAGACTGGTTGAACCGGTCCCCCCAAGCAGAGATGAGAAGGAGGTAGGGGAGGGTTTGGAATACTGCATTGGCATGAATGGCTACCTGCTTTGGTTCGCTATCAGGTACATAGGAAATGTAAAATGGCACAATAACGGGCACAGTGTTAGGCCCCTTCTGCAGAAGGCCTGCAGGCAAGGTAAAGCTGCCTGGACTTGGGGGTGAAAACTAGGGTGGGTGGGGTGGGAGAACAGCCATGGGGGCAGGGCTCTCCCACCTCATAAAGCAGGGCATGCTTTCATTCTCTTTCAATCTCAAAGGATTTGGGTTCCCTCGGGGCTGGAAGGATCCTCTAGGGTCCTCTCATCTGCACACACTCCTCCATCCTGGATCCCCCCTCCCTCCCCCAGAGGACCAAAATGCTGTAGCTGTCAGCATGTGGGGGCCAGGAGGAGCCCTTCAGAGCCTCTGGTCCATTCTGTCATTAGGTGATTGGCCAGTTTCGTGGCCAGGAAGTGCCAAGCTGGGGTGGTGAGAGCTTCCTTTTCAGGGAAGTCCATACCTCCCCCAAGCATCTGTTCCCACCCCACACAACCTCTTCCAACAGCGAGTCTTTGCCACATGTAATCTGTGGCAATTTAAGTCCTCTCTTTTTACACTGCTTTTCAGGTTGCAGGAGGAAGGGGCACTGAGAACAGCTGGCCAGCATTCACTTAATAATAAGGCTTCGGAACCCAAAGCCTGTTATTAAAGCTCCCCCTCCACCCTCCCTTCTCTAGGCGAGGGAGTTGGCAAAGTGCTTGGAGCTCTGTGGAAAAATAAGGTACTCCACAAATATAAAGTTCTTATTATTTTCAGTTCCCTCTGATCAAATTAGGTGTCAGGTTTTAATCTGTCACCTGACACCCCTGATTGCTGGTTGCCAAGGCAGAGTGACTTAGCTTTTCAAGACTCTTGAGAATAATTGCATTCATGATCCCACTGTTCCACACCTTCAACACAGACTCCACCATCTGACACTTGTTCAGATGTTCACACCACGGCCCCCTGCACTTGTTCTCGAAATCCTGGGCCATCAGACTGGGTCCCCACACCGAGTCAGTCCCCCAGAGAGCCTCACGAGTGCAAGACATGTGGATGATGCTCAGCAAATTCTTGTTGAAGAAGCACGGACATCTTTGAAACTGATTTAGAACCTTGCTTCTCAGAGTGTGGTCCCTGGACTGGCAGCATTGGCTTCACCTGAGAACTTGTTAGAAATGCAGAATCTCAGGGGCTACCTAAGATTCTGAACCTGCTGAGTCAAATTCTGTATTTCCACAAGGTCCCCAGGAGATTCCTGTGCATATAAGACTTTGAGAAGCACTTCCCAGGTTGGGGGAACCATGGCAGCTGAGAATCAGAATCACCTGGGGGAACTGTTGCTTTTTTTTTTTTTTTTTTTTTTTTTTTTTTTTTTTTTTTTTTTTTTTTTTTTTTTTTTCTTTGTATTTCCAGCCTCTGAATCATTCTGTTTGGGAGAGAAGGCTTGTGGCATCTGTTTTGCTTGAAAGCACTGACGGTGATCCTGATTATCCAGGTTTGGAATCATCATTTTGAGTTTACCTATGCCTTCTGCTAAAATTTTTAAGAAGGAAAACTCAAGCTCTGAACTATACAGAAAAGCCCCATCCACACATAGATAATTCTGAGTTAACTGCATATGGAATTGCCCCTTTGGCGTGGCTTTCTGGGCCTACAGATGCACGAGGGCTTCCCTGGGTGCATGCTGATGCTTTTCAGCCCTACCCCGCTTGGGAACATGCCTGGTTTTCCAGAGAATGATGGAACATTCTGGTGCTTGGCCTGGTTTTCCAGAGAATGACAGAACATTCTGGTGCTTGGCCTGGTTTTCTAGAGAATGATGGAACTTGTTCTTCTACCTGCCATGATGGCCCTCTGATATTCCTTCACCCCACCACCACCGCCAAATTCAGTGTGACATGCCACCTCTCTGGCTAGATCCTGGGCTCTTGGTCCAAAACAAGGGCCTCAGAAACTACACCCCCTGCTGACGGCAGACAGCATGTTTCTATAAGTTTGCTTCTATCCATCCCTGTTGATCCCAGACTATTTGAACAGCCTCTGCCTGCTTTAGTATATATCAAGATTTAGGGATGTCTGGGTGGCTCAGCCGGTTGAGCATCTGACTCATGATTTTGGCTTAGGTCACGATCTCGCTGTTCGTGGGATCGAGCCCCACATTGGGCTCTGTGCTGACCTCATGGAGTCTGCTTGGGGTTCTCTCTCTCTCTCTCTCTCTCTCTCTCTCTCTGCCCCTCCCCTGCTCATGTTGTCTCTCTCTTTCAAAATAAATAAACATTAAAAAAAACTTTTAAAAAGATTTAGATATTAGGAGACAAATTAGGGATTAAATGTCTGTGGCTGGGAAAAGAACGGGTGATGCAAAAGAAGGCATGGCCTCTATTTCTCCATTTGATAATGAGATGGCTGTGTTAGATCAGTGATTTTCAAAGGGAAATCCTCTTGTCTAACAAAATTGTACCTGGGCCTCCAATGTAGAAAACTGAATGAAGAGTGGCTCTGACCAACATGGGGGGTGAAGGACCCAGAACTGTGACCATGGCCCCTTTTTCTGCACTCCCCAGTTCCTGGGGGACATCATTATCTTCCCAGGGCTCCAAGGAAGAAAGGTTGAGAACCACTGGGTTAGGTAATCCCTAATGTTTCTCCTGGTGCTTAATTTCTGCAAGGAAGATAAATCTGTAGCTGTATCAAAAAAAAATCATGTCATAAATTCTAAAGGTTTAACAGGAATCACTTCCAGATTACCCATACAATTTATTTCCCTTATTAGCTTGGTGTAGAGCCATTCACTAAATTTCAAAACTTATATTTTCTCTACTGTAAGTTTTTTAAGCCCAGTACTTTGAGAAATAATTTGTATTAAGCAAATCTCAGAGAAACCTTTGAATTTAGTTTCCATTCTTGTTCCTTATTTTTCCTGGAAATGAGAGGGATGTGGATTAACAGCAGAGAAAGGAATGGCCCAGCCAACCTAAACTAGAAGAGAAACAGATTTTGGTGGGAGGAATCACAGATCTTAGGGCCAAAAGGATGAAGAAATGAACAACTCCAGTATTCTGCCCGCGTAAGGATTCCGTATCCATTCATGCCTCCCACATGTGCTGAGCACTAGTTCTGGGGGGGCCCCATGCCAAGCACCAGTTACACAGTGACAAACATAGTGTCAGTTCTTAGGAGTGACCTTCACAGCAGTGTTACACTGTGGTCAGGAGGTAAGGGCTATGGCAGGTTCTAGGGGCTTGAGCAGGGATAAACCCCATGAGGACAGAAAACTTGTCTCTTATCTGCTGTTAGAATTCCCAGTGCCTGGCAGTGGTTTCAACAAATAAATGAACAAAGCATGGATCCCGCCAGTGGAAGGAGTTGGGACATCCTCTCTGACTGTTTGGTTAAATACTCAGCTGAGGCCCTGTAAAACACATATGTGGCTTGTCCACACTGACTTTGGCCTTGTGAAGGCTACATGTGAGGGGTAGAGGAAGAACATGCAGATGGTCAGAAAGTAAAAAGCACTTATAAGCGACTTATTGTTGGGGTGCCTGGGTGGCTCAGTTGGTTAAGTGTCTGACTTCAGCTCAGGTCATGATCTCATGGCTTGTGAGTTAGAGCCCCGATGGCCCCACGTCGGGCTCTGTGCTGACACCTCAGAGCCTGGAGCCTATTTCAGATTCTGTGTCCCTCTCTCACTCTGCCCCTCCCCTGCTCATGCTCTCTTTCTCTCTCTCAAGAATAAATAAACATTAAATTTTTTTTTTTAAAGTGACTTATTGCAAGTATAAATCAAGAGAGTAGAGTCCCACAGATAACCCAGAATTCACAGAAGAGTACTGTTGCCTGTGTGCCCTGCCCAGGGTAACTTTGGGGTGAGCCAGGGGCCCTCACATTGTGAAGGGATGTGACAGAGGCCCCAAAACACTGCGTGGTGCTTCTCCTAGGCTAGGCACAGCTGGGCTCCCTGCAGCTGGAACAGTGCGGGGATGAAAAGGGGGAAGAACACGGTGGGACTCAGTTTAAATGTGGGTTTCTCAGGGAAACCTTCCTTGATGCTCCACTCTAAGCCCCTCCCCCAATCCTATGCCACTCGCTCATGGCGCTTACGGCAATTGCAGTGACACAGTTATTGATATAATTTGTATTTTTCAAGTCCCCGCCTCCATGAGGGCAGGGACTGTGTCTGTCTTGTTCATTTCTGAATCCCCAGTACCCAGTACTGGGCTGGATGAATGGCCATATGAACGCCAGAATTGTTTTGTTCCTGGAGAAGGTGGGTTTTGAATTGGGTTTTGGAAGAGCAGAGGGCCAGGCATGAGATGGGCAGGGACAAAGGGGAGACAGGAGTCAGCATAAGCGCTCCTAGGAAGGTCACCAGCTCACCTCCACGCTGCTCAGCCACTGCCGGACCGACAGGAATGACTGTCTGGCTGTGAGATCATACATGACGATGACGCCATCGGCCTTCCTGAAGAACTGCTGGGTGATACAGCAATACCTGCCATCAAGGGGTCACAGGTCATGGGCTGCATGGCTCCCCCC